AAAACTTAGGGTTTATCCATTATTATTTAAGGCATACCAAATTAAACGTGTATTATTTGCCTTTAAATTCTACTAGTTATTGGTAGACAAAATTCTTAACAATATGGCAAAATTATGTATAATGTAAATGTCATAAAATAGGGACAACTATCGTATACACGGTGTAGTATAATTTTATACACAAATATGGAAGTATATAAATAAACACGAGTTTTATTATTGATAATTATTTTTGTTTTTAATAGAGTTCTATAATGTAATGTTATATGAATTGTTTTGTATCTATAAACTTGTTTGTGAAATGAAACCTTAACACTAATCCACTCAAACAATAAATTTATGTTGATAAGATTAAGATTTTTTAGATTATTTGTGCAAAACACTTATGAATTTGATATCCCTTTATGAATTTATTTATGAAATAAAACTTTAGGACTTAACCACTCAAAATAATTATTTCGTGTTAATAAAATTAATTTTGCAAAAAATAATCTAAAACGGTCTTAATTTTATCAACATGAAATAATTGTTTGAGTGGTTTAGTGCTAAAGTTTCATTTCATAAATAAATTCATAAAGGGATATTAAATTCATAAGTGTTTTGAACAAATAATCTAAAAAATCTTAATCTTATCAACATAAATTTATTGGTTGAGTGGTTTAGGGTTAAGGTTTCATTTCACAAACAAGTTTATAGATACAAAACAATTCATATAACATTACATTATAGAACTTTATTAAAAAACAAAAGATATATATATATTGTTTAATTGTTTTATTACTGCAAATTAAAATAGTAATAAAATCAAACATATTTATAAAAGTAATTAATATTATTGAGTGATTTAATAAATTTAATACAGTGAGAGTTAAAATAAATGGTAACTAATGTTAAAGTGAATGAATCTGTTGGTTCGAGGATGAATCGAGTGAATGAATCTGCTAATACTTGCCAGTGATTATCATGAATGTTTATGGAATGGAATTTATACATTTGGTGTTTATCTATTAATCAAAATAGCGATTCGTTATTTCCCGACACACTGTCCCGTTCATGACATAGCCGACATCACACATTTCTCTTAATGCTTTTCAATACAGATATTAAGTGAGGTTCTGTTATATTTCTGGAACGGGACAGTGTGTCGACAAATCGTGAATCATTAGTTCAATTGATTGATAACTTATTAACTATTAACCTATTAACTTTCCAAACGATATATCAGAATTTTACAATTATGGAACATCCGAAATTGAAGTTCTATCAAAAATGTTTGACATGGATCCAACAGTAATCATACCTGAATGGCGCCAGTTTTTAGCAATTATAAAAACTAGTGACATTTGGTGTTTTGTGCAAACAATGAAGATAGATAAGTTCTATGGCGAAATATTACAAATCACCACCATTCCTCCAAATATTAAACACCTTTTACAAATAAGCTTAGTATTACCAATAGGTATAATCAAATTAATAAAAATGATTTTACAAATTTGTTATTCGTCTTAAGGTACTGCAAATGTCGAACGATCGTTTTCAATTTTGAAACACATTCACAGTGATCGCCGTTCGAGTTTATCCCCTCAATCATTAAATGCATTAATGATTATTCGCAATAATGGACCTTTCGATATTAAAAAATTCAATGCCTTATCATGTGCAAAATATTGGCACGACGTTGAAAGAAGACAATTTGTCGATGAAATAACACCTTGGGGAAAGAAAATGAAATTGGATACTGATAACAAAGAAAATTATGAATATTATGTAGAAAGTAATCTTTTCTAATATATTTTGTAACTTTCCAAACTATGCGTCGTTTTTGTATTAATCAATAGCATTGAATGGCAAATAAACGTAAAACTGAAAATTAAGGGTTAAATAAACGGTTTCAATGGTATTAATTATTAAGCTTTATATATTATTTTAGGGAAAACGCGAATAACTTTTGACTGGGTAACTCAATCATATTGATGTCAATTAGAACAATGTTGCCTGATAATGTCGTAATCGATCGGTATATAATATGTCATTATAGCTATCATGGTTATTTTTCTATGTAAATTATAAGAAGATAAATAATTTCCATTAAAAACCATTGAAAATGTGTACAAATAGAGACCAATTTCGATGTCATCTTATTATAAACAATATTAACAAATATACAAGTTTTGTTTTTATAAAAAATTAATTAATTATTTAGAGAAATCCTGAAATACGTGTCCACTTATTTGTTATCTTGAACATTTTGATATATAGAATTTTAAAATTCATCTATTAGTTTTTAAGCTATACAAACCCTTCGTTTCATATAATACAGGTAATTTAAAATAAATTATGAAATAGCTAAAGTATACATCCCATGTGTGGATAAAACTTCAGTATGTTTACTTTTTAAAATTATATCTAGATTAAAAATAATTGACAAAAGTATAACTTATAAAAGTCAAAATTTGTGCAAAAAAGTCATTGTTTTTCAATGGAAATTATTTATCTTCTTATAATTTACATAGAAAAATAACTATGATAGCTATAATGACATATTATATATCGATCGATTACGACATTATCAGGCAACATTTTTCTAATTGACATTAATATTATTGAGTAACCCAGTCAAAAGTTATTCGCGTTTCTCCTACGGAACATTATAGATTTTTTGTGTCTCCCACACACCCTTTAAACGTAACGTGATATGTGAACAACCGTAACGTTAATTGAGATTAAGCGCTCATTTCTGTCGACATATGAGCTTTGGTGGGACTGGATGTAGGACTGGCTCTCATTAACTGTAAATAATGGCTGCGAGCTATCAATACGAGCCATGAATTGCCACACATTTGTCATACATCCGATCCATTCATCCATTTTCATCCATTCAACTATCATATGAACAGCGGCTCAAGACATGTGGCGGATTAATTCAGTCGAAGAGATTACCACTACAACCACCGCATCCATCTCTGAAGAGGAGGAAGACGATGACAGCACTTCCATCGCCTCCTATCCATCCCTTCAACTCAACCTAAACCCTCTGAAAGTGCCATTTCCTGAGGCGGGGGTCGACCTCATCGACACCACTGTCGATGACTATCAACTCAACCATCACTTGATCCAAGAGAATGGTGTCAAATGCTATGATTGCCAGACATGGCAACAGAACTGGCTCTTTAAGAAAGCTAAGAAAATGGACAACAAGTCTGACATAATGTTGGGATATATGGCAATGATTATCGCCGAACTGCCGATCTGTATGTTAATCCCGAATCCAATCGAGAAAGTCTTCAGACCTGTCATCGGCGACAGAGATGTGGACGAGTTGTCAGACCTCTCAGAGCACAACTCTGTCGGCTCTCTTGACTTCTCCGACGATGAAAGCGATTACGAAGAGACCATTGATACGAATGATGTGATGGAAATGACAAGCGATGTGTCAAAAGTGGAGGAATGCCAAAAAGTAGTGCCCATTATAATGACCACAATTAGCAAAACGACAAATACTATTGAGAAGGAGTGCAACGAATCAAAAGCCATAATTAATATGAAAGTCAGTGTTGTTTCAAACAAAGTGAAGCCAATCGTGAAAACGGTGACAAAAGTGCCTAATTATCTGCCAAAAGAACTTCGAGTTAACGACAGAGACTCTGGGAGTGACCCATATCTGGTGCTAAGACCGGGTGACGCCTGCGTTCAGTCGGCGATAACCGTTCAGTTCATATGTCGCGCCCGCGGATCAAAACCATTGTTATATTCTTGGTTTAAAGGCGACTCTCTTTTACAATCCGATCAACATTTTCGCATTTTTCAGAGCGGAGAAGAAAACATACTGGAAATCATGAATACCAGCCAAGAGTATAGCGACCAATACTCTTGTGTTGTCTACAATCGCTTTGGCTATCAATGGTGTGATTTCACTCTTCAAGTGAGAAACACTAGTTTTGTATCCAATAAATGTCATAAAATGCCTCTCAAAATGACCACAACTACAGTCGACAACGAATGTGAGCCCAAGTCTGAGGTGAGTGTCTATTCTTGAATCCATTTCTAAACTTTGGCTAAATATTAACAAATGTAATGGTTTTTGGTATTAACTTATTTGCATGAACTAAAGGCTGTCTCTGAAGTCTCTAATATCACTATTAATCCAAAGCATGACAAACACAAAACTCGTCCGTTTGTTATTCAACGGACTTGGGCTGAAAGAGTCGCTGAACTTAATTCGAAAGCACAGGTACTTTCACTTTTGGCACCAAAATAGCATAAAATGGACAAAAGTGATCATTTTTGCTCATTTATCGTTTCAGAACAAACAAAATGAATCAAATGTTGAGTTCAAAGGGGATAACAAAGACTGTGAAGAAGAGACGCGTGTATCGGTGCCAACACTCATGACCTGTACTATCGCTGAAAGAGAGCACAAGAAATGGGAGAATCCAGACATCGATTGGAAGGACAGCCCGTATTCGGCGGAGAATCTCAACTCTCGATTACAGCAACGAGTGTTGAGTTTGAATTCACTCAACGAATCGTCTATTGAAAGGACGGATAACACGAATGATGAGAACGAAGCCGAGTCTGCATTTCTCTCCTCTAATTCTAAAGACATGAGTCGTTATCGAAAAGACTATTATGTAAAACAACAGCCAATGAGTAGAGACGAAACGCTTCGTTCATTTGATGAAAACGTATAAAATTATTAGTTTTATTCTTGCATTTCTTATTTGCGGTATTAATGTATTAATCGTTTAAACACTCGTTTATTTAAAGGAATATTCAAATTCAAAATATTTTAATTTACAACAAATACAACGAAAATCATCTGAAGATATGTCACAAATGTCTGAGACATCAAACGGCAAGAATTCCAACGAAACCGAAAGCGAAAATTCCGATTCATTGTTACCATCCGTTAAAGATCTCGTCAACAGATTCTCTTTCAATGATCAACAGAACGATACGATTCCTAAATTAGTCGATATTAAGAGGAAAAATAGTTTCTCGGATTCAAAATTCAATAATTTTTCCAAAAATGGTTTACAAACAAACAATTTTAAGGTATTTATGGCATATTTATTCATTAAA